ATCTCACTGACCTTTCAAATAAAGAGTCAGAGAATCAGTCTAGAGTCTGTTTCTTCTGTGCTAGATTATTTGGGAGATTGAGTTCTTGCAGTGTTATGATTATGGATTGATGTCACAGCTCAGCCGTTCTGTTGCTTTATATTTCTCTTCAGCTGTTCTGAACCCTACATAGACAGCACCCTTCAAAGGGAACGTCCTGTGGGTGATTTGGACACTCAGTCTTTTTAATTGGATTGAACTATTTTATTGATAACCTTGGTTTTATAATTATAGATGATAAAATTTAAATTTGTACCTTGAACGCAATACAAGTCGCTTTGGATAAAATGCATAAATTTAAATGTTTATCATTTCTGTTTTTGATTTTGCAGAGAGATGTTTACGGTCATCAGTGAGGAATGAGACGGATCCACCTGCAGAAAAAGTGATCTTTCAAGGCAAGTTGGTTCATATTGGCAACGAACTTGGGCAGAAGTTTTCAGTCATACTATTTAATTGAATGTCAAAATATTAAATTTTTTAAATCTACTTGAGAAACTCCAATTTTCAGCTACATAACATATCAGTAACAAATCGTAGACTTTGTTTTTAAGAAAAAAAATCTTAGCTTTAAAAAAAAAATAGCTTAAAAAAAAATCGAAAAAATTGAAATGCTGAAATAAAATATTTAAAAACCTGTTTTATTGAAAAATAAATATAAAAAAATATATATTTCAGCTCATTTCTCAGCCTTTACTTTAACTTACTACTTACTTAAAGTACTGAAATAACTAAAACTAAACAAAATGAGGAAACTATATTGGCATAAAAAATAAGTTAAACATATATTCACAATACAAATCTTTGTTACTACAAGAGAGCTACATTGCATCTGTATACAACATGCAACTTTTACGATCATGGTTCATTTTTAGAAACCGGCAGATGCAGTAATACACCAGTGACAGAGAGAATCTGTAATTATTGTAAGTTAACATCAGATATTTCTGTGATAGAAGATGAGAAGCATTTCTTGTATGATTGCTCTTTGTATGTGCATAAGAAATATTTAGGTGATCTTGTTCTTGTTGGTGATGTCTGTATTGATGTGTCAAATGTATGCATGGAGATTGGCTTTGTATATATACCATAGAATGAAGGAAAGAGTATCTGCTATGTCATTGTGATCTTGTGGAACTATGGGCCGAGAGGCCATATATTCCTGAAAATTAACTTGAATTAATGAATACTAAAAAATAATAAAATGACTGAAACTAATATTAGAGTGAAAGTCAAATAAAATCTAGTTGGCAAAACTACAAAAGTATATCAAGGATACTAAAATAACATTGGGATCCAGTGCATGTGCAGTGTGGAACCAAGGCTGGCGGTGACTGCTTATTGGCTGTTTTCTTTGGAAGGTGGGGCTTACTCTTCTAGAGTTGCCATATTTGGGCCTTCCTTTTTCTCCCTTCATTATAATAGCAGTGTTCTGTCTTAGCTATATAGAGTCTCTGTTTTCACTTAAAGCACACTGAAGCATCTGTCTGTCTGTCTTTCATGTTGTAGACAGCTGCAGAGATGATGCTACTACAGTCTGCCAGATTCAGAGACTGTAAGAGGTACAAACCCACCGCTGGGACTGTGAGCTTCACACCTGTGAGTGTGTGTGTGGATACACACATTTGCATTTAATTCTTTTCCCCTCTACTCTTGGTAACTACAGATCCGAGAGCTCTTCTCGTCTCATCTTGTCTTTTCTCATCGTGTTTCTCTCCTCATTCTCTCTCTCTCTGTGTACCGCAGGGACTCGTGCCATGCTGTGTTGGGTGGCACCCATGTGCCCTCGTCTGCTGACTCCTACACTTCCATTGTGAGATTTATGCTAAATATGCAATATGTTAGTATTATAATGCATTATAACTGTTATAATGTACCTGTTTCACCCTTATATAGCATAATGCATTATAGTACAAAAATACCATTTGTAATTTGTTTTATGAAATGCATTATGATTCATTATACTCTTTAGCTCTGTAACCATAGATATTTAAGTATTATAATGCACTATAACTTATAACACGTACCTGTTTTTGACTATACCTTTACATAGTATAATGCATTAAATCATGATAAGTGCACTTTTTTTGTTTCGTGAACTTGCTTATAATGTTATAATACAGTATATGCTCTAGCACTATAATCATGAATATGTAAGTATAATAGTGCATTATAACTGTTATAACTTACCTCTTTTTGGTTACACCTTTATGTGGTATAATACGTTGGAATATATGATAAATACCCAGTTTTTTGTTTTATTTCAAGAAATTCATTATACTCTTTTACCATGAATATGTAAGTATTATAATGCATTATTACATGCACCTATTTGTAGCTACAACTTTATATAGTATAATGCATTATAACATGTCATAAATTAAATTTTTTATGTTTAATGAAATGCATTATAGTGCATTATACTCTTTAGCTCGATAACCGTAAATATGTAAGTATTATAATGCATTATAACTGTTATAACATGTTTTGACTACATCTTTACATAGTATAATGCATTATAACATAACAAATAGCATTTTATCATAGTGAATTATAATGCATTATACTCTATCAGTAAAAGCATGTATATGAAAGTATTATAAAGCATTATAACTGTTATTACATGTACCTATTTGTATCTACACACTTATATAGTGCATGGCATTATAACATTATAAATACCTGTTTATTTGTTTTGTGAAATGCATACAAGTATTATAAAGCATTATAACTGTAATTACATGTACCACAGTTATATATTATAATGCATAATGACATATCATAAATACCAATTTTTAAAGTGTTTCCTGAAATGCTTTATAATGCATTATGCTCTTTAGTGCTATAACCATGAATATGTAAGTATTATAATGCATTATAACTGTTGCTGATCTACAGTATACATGCTGCACAATGATATCAATTAATCTTACTCCAGATAATGAATATTTTCTTTATTTGTGGAAAGTAGCGAACACTTATCTTCCTGAAGATGAACTGGCCTCTCCAGTCGAGTGCATTATTTAAACTTGAGCTTTTAAAGCACAAATGCTGTTTTCTTACCGCACCATAATCACAGTAATTAATAGAGCGCTTTCAGTATCTCTGACTATCAGGTGCTGGTCGTTCATCAGCGCGGCATTAATGAACGTTTGGGCTGGAGGTTCCCAGGCTTTATTAAAGCTTTGTGGAGTTCCTCATTCCCTGCTTTTCCACTAAAACTCCTTTCTTTTGTAAAGCTGATCTTTTCAGCAGAAATAGAGACAATCAACCCGACAAAGGATTCAGATAGTTTTACTCATGCTTTAAATGTCTAACTGTAATTTCATTACATATTAAACAGGATTTATTTGTTGTAATGGAAGATCAATCAAAACATTTTGCAGATAGAATTAAACCAGACCTATAAATGTAGCTTTGTAGATGAAGACAGTCAGTAAATAGTTTCTAATGTGTGCTGAGTAGTTGCTATGCAGTTTCTAACATGTTCTAAATAGTTGCTTACAGGCTTCTAGGGAGTTAGTGGTGGTTGCCAGGGAGTTGCTATGCAGTTTCTAACATGTTCTGAATGTTATTAACAGGTTTCTAGGGTGTTATAAGTGGTTGCTATGGTAATGCTATGCAGTTTCAAAGGTATTAGTAGTTTTCAACAGATTTCTAGAGAGTTGTGGGTGGTTGCCAGGGTGTTGCTATGCAGTTTCTTACATGTTCTAAATAGTTGCTTGCAGGCTTCTGGGGAGTTAGTGTTGGTTACCAGGGAGTTGCTATGCAGTTTCTAACATGTTCTGAATGTTATCAACAGGTTGCTAGGGTATTATTGGTGGTTACCAGGTTGTTGCTGTACAGTTTCTAAAGTGTTCTAAGGTGTAAGTAGTTTTTTACAGGTTTCTAGAGAGTTGTGGGTGGTTGCCAGGATGTTGCTAGGCAGTTTCTGTGTTCTGACTGTGTTCTGACGACTCAATGGCAGGTTACTAGGATGCTATTGGTGGATGCCAATGCATTGCTATGCATTTGTGTTCAGAATAATTGGTAGTAGGTTTCTAGGGTGTTATTTTTGGTTGCCAGGGTGTTGCTGTGCAGTTTATATGGCTTTCTGAATAGTTGTTTGCAGGTTACTAGGGTGTTATTTGTGGTTGATAGGGAGTTGCTATGCATTTAAGGGGTTCAGAATAGTTGGCAGCAGGTTGCCAGGGTATTTCAATGCCTTTTTCTAAGGTGTTTGGAGTAGTTGTTTGCAGGTTGATTTGTGGTTGCCAGGGTGTTGCTATGCATATAAGGTGTTAAGAATAGTTGTTTACAGGTTTCTAGGGTGTTCATTTTGGTTGCCAGGACATTGCTATGCAGTTTCTAAAGTGTTCTAAGTAGTTTTAACAGGTTTGTAGAGAATTGTAGGCGGTTCCCAGGGCGTTGCTATGTCGTTTCTAAGGTCTGCTGAGTAGTTGTTTGCAGGCTGCTAAGGTGTTATTGGTGGTTGCCAGGGTGTTGCTATGTGGTTGCTAGGGTGTCCTGAAGAATCATTCATGTCTGTTAGTTTAATACTTTGTGTTGGAGGTTCGATCGCGTCACTCAGACTAATAAAGCTCAGATATTTCCACAGCGAGGCATCCAAACGCTGTCAGAACTAACGCTGATGTCTTCCTGTCACATTCTTAATTAAGGTACTCAGTGGAAAGCATGAATAACGAAGAGCTCCGGTCTTAAAGAGACTCTGTTTTGGCACCGTCTCAACGGCTGCTATGACAACTCGGCGGCCTATAGCAGCGGTCGTCAGACAGCGAGCCGTGTTAGAGCCGCTGCCCGAACAGCACAATGGATCACAACTTCATGGATCCCCAATTTAGACTTCAGCCGGCGCGTTTAAGGAGGAACGGCGGAGACGGGCCTCCTCGGCGACTCACGGCGGATCGGCGCCACCTTAACACTCGCTCGCTGCCAGCGAGGCCAGCTTTGTTCAAACTGACAGGAATTGGCAGGCAGCCATTTTGTTCGCAAATTTACATAAATGCCAAATGGTGTCTGTTTCCTGTAGGTCTTCTAGAATTCTCTGTAAGCAGAGCTCCGTGTGTGTGTGTGTGTGTGTGAGCTTCATCAGGACACACTCCTCATCCCTGTTGTGAAGTCGATGAGCTTCACACTGATGCATATGTGTCGTGCCGTAGCTTATTTTAGCTGGAATATTCAGTGACCCCATGAAACAACGAACTGTCCTGCATTTTTTTAATGCTTTACTGCATCATTTTTGTGAGTGAATGTCCACAAACCTGTCAGTTCACCCTATAATCACAAGAAATTATAAATTTTTTCCTTTTAATTTTTAAGAATCTTTTAGAATTTTTTTTGCATTTTATGGTAATTAGGCACAAAAAACTATTTAATTAAAAAAAATGTTTCAAATCTATTTTGGCAATAATGATTTAAATTACAATTTGAAATAAAATTTGTAATGTGTTTATTACTAATAATTGTTTATTGTACTTCCTTTAGCTTATGCTTAACTAAAATAATAAAATAAATTATTGTATTTTTTTACAGTATTTTTTCAGATCCAAACCGAAGTGTTACAGAAATGAGAATATTAGGTGAAATGTGCTTAAATACTGTAGTTGAGCTAATATAATTATTTTAACGATGATCAATCGTCACAATAGTTGCTTTTTGGAATTATTAGTTGTTGTCAATTATATAGCAAATTTCAAATGCTTAATTGTATATATTGTCTCAAAATATAAACTATAGATTGCCTAGCTCTAATCTGATAAATGCAACTATAAGGCATGAATATATTAAGATATTATATACATTAACATCATTATTTTCATTAAAGCCGCTTTGAAACAATGTGTATTGTTTAAACCGCTATATATTAAAATAATTTGACTTGATTTATTTTACTCTGAAAGGAATATTTATATTATGTGTTTGTGTTTGTAAAATTTTTTTGAAGCGTCAGTTACCAACTATTTCATGGTGATAACGCAAAAATTGCATAAAAAACAAAAAGCACTTCTATATTGTGTAAATGAATTGTATATTATATATATTACTATATATTATTTATTAAAATGCATTTATATAACTAAAAAATTAAAAAAATATTATTTTAAATATATTACTATATATTTTGAAAAAAATTTTTGTATTTATATTTTATTATACTATTGTTATGGTTTTTTTTTTGTCCTTTTGGAACATCCTGAACTGTTGTTGTTTTGGAAGAAAAAAACTTTTTTCTTTTTCTTTTTCCTCCCCCCAGTTTTCATGACCATTCTGCAAATAAATCTCAATTTTTGAGGGTGAAATGTGACCTGGACTTGTTTTTTTTTCATGAGATTCACTCCGTCATCATTATCTGTTGAAAGAGCCGCTGTTTCTCTTCACACGGAGAACAGCTGAGTTCACCGTGAACCAGTGTTCCCCGTAATAGTCGTCTCATTATTTTTGAATAACATCAGGTGCACAAATATTTAAACAAGCATCTGTGAGATGAGAGGAAATCATGCAAATATGAAAAGGCCCTGGAAATGAAGGATTGTGGAATGCGGGAGGCTGACATCTTGGCACGCTGAGCTGATCAATTAGTCTAATCACACCAGTGTCAGCGCTGAGGATGCATTAATATTCAATTAATGGTCTGAATCCCTCCTAAAGCTAGAGGCTTCTGGTGCCGCCGCGGAGCAGATCCCACACCTCGCGCTCCCATTGGCTGCTCTGCATTTCATCGCCATGGAAATACCAATCAGTGTTGACAGCGCGGCTCTGGTTGGAGCATGTGATGATCGCTGGCCCCGGGCTTTGACCGACGCTCCCAGGGTCCTTACTGACCACAAACACGTTTTACCAATAAAACCAGACTCGCTTTATTCAAGAGAAACTCGTGCCAGAGAACCGACGCTACAAAAACTGTCTGAGGGGGAAAAAAGAGAAGAAAAGCAGTACACAGTCTTTCTCTCTCCCCCAGAGCAGTTTCTCCTGGAGCAGATGGATGTTGTTCAGGCTGTTTGTCTGTGTGTGTGTGTGTGTGTGTACGTGTGTGTGTGTTTGTGTGTGTGTGTGTGTGTGTGTGTCTGTGTGTGTGTGTGTCTGTGTCTGTGTCTGTGTCTCAGATCCGAGAGCTCTTCTCGTCTCATCTTGTCTTTTCTCATCGTGTTTCTCTCCTCATTCTCTCTCTCTCTGTGTACCGCAGGGACTCGTGCCATGCTGTGTTGGGTGGCACCCATGTGCCCTCGTCTGCTGACTCCTACACTTCCATTGTGAGATTTATGCTAAATATGCATATCTTAATTGCATTATTCAAAATAATTAGCTAATATATTTTTGCATAATGACAAGGTAAGCAAATAGTGTCTCTGTGCTCTGTGTGCTGTGGCTGGGAAACTTTGCAAAATTAATAGACTCCCAAAATTACTAATTACCTCGTTTTTCCCAGCGTTTCAGCGAGGACTCGTTTCCTCCCAAGTGCTGCAGCTAAAGATCTTCACACTGTGTGTGTGTGTGTGGCAGCAATTTATCTGCAGCCTGTGTGTATATAATACACTATAATATAAATGCATTCTTTCATAATGCCCTATAATGCACTTTGTAATCAGGGTAGTGTTTTCTTAAATTATTGTAAACACAGTTATAAAACATAATGCACCTATTTTTGGCTACACCTATATATAGTAAAATACATTATAACCTATAAATAGCATATTTACTGTTTCATTACAGTGAATTATAATGCATTAGTGCATTTAAGGTACCTATTTTTGGCTACACAGTATTTCATATAATACATTATACTCTTTAAACTGTAACGGGGCTGACGAGACGTGAGACGTGTGGATCCATCTGCAGGCTTTATTAAAGAGACGTGGTAAACAGGCAGGGTCAAACAATAATGCGGGAGGCTGACATCTTGGCACGCTGAGCTGATCAATTAGTCTAATCACACCAGTGTCAGCGCTGAGGATGCATTAATATTCAATTAATGGTCTGAATCCCTCCTAAAGCTAGAGGCTTCTGGTGCCGCCGCGGAGCAGATCCCACACCTCGCGCTCCCATTGGCTGCTCTGCATTTCATCGCCATGGAAATACCAATCAGTGTTGACAGCGCGGCTCTGGTTGGAGCATGTGATGATCGCTGGCCCCGGGCTTTGACCGACGCTCCCAGGGTCCTTACTGACCACAAACACGTTTTACCAATAAAACCAGACTCGCTTTATTCAAGAGAAACTCGTGCCAGAGAACCGACGCTACAAAAACTGTCTGAGGGGGAAAAAAGAGAAGAAAAGCAGTACACAGTCTTTCTCTCTCCCCCAGAGCAGTTTCTCCTGGAGCAGATGGATGTTGTTGAGGCTGTTTGTGTGTGTGTGTGTGTGTGTGTTGTGTGAGAGTGTGTGTGTCTGTGAGAGAGAGTGTGTGTGTGTGTGTGTGTGTAAGAGTGTGTGTGTGTGTGAGAGAGAGAGAGAGAGAGAGAGAGAGAGAGAGAGAGAGAGAGAGAGAGAGAGAGAGAGAGAGAGAGAGAGAGAGAGAGAGAGAGAGAGAGAGAGAGAGAGAGAGAGAGAGAGAGAGAGAGAGAGAGAGAGAGAGAGAGAGAGAGAGAGAGAGAGAGAGAGAGAGAGAGAGAGAGAGAGAGAGAGAGAGAGAGAGAGAGAGAGAGAGAGAGAGAGAGAGAGAGAGAGAGAGAGAGAGAGAGAGAGAGAGAGAGAGAGAGAGAGAGAGAGAGAGAGAGAGAGAGAGAGAGAGAGAGAGAGAGAGAGAGAGAGAGAGAGAGAGAGAGAGAGAGAGAGAGAGAGAGAGAGAGAGAGAGAGAGAGAGAGAGAGAGAGAGAGAGAGAGAGAGAGAGAGAGAGAGAGAGAGAGAGAGAGAGAGAGAGAGAGAGAGAGAGAGAGAGAGAGTGTGTGTGTGTGAGTGAGTGTGAGAGTGTGAGAGTGTGAGTGTGAGAGTGTGAGTGTGTGTGAGTGAGTGTGTGTGAGTGTGTGTGAGTGAGCGATTCCAGTATTCCACTTTTCCAGGTCAGGGAGGATTTGGTTCTGCCTGGCTGCCTGGTTTGGCCGTTAACTAGGGTTAATTAGTTAACGTTGCTAGTATGTTATTTCAGTTTTCAGGTTGTTGGGCCCTTGACCACTTTTTTGCAAGGCTAAATAAACATAATCAGATCTATCTATTCAAAAATGGGTTATTAAACTAAAACCATATTTTTTTATTAAAAAAAAGAAGCTTATTTTATTTTCTTTTAGTTTGACTTGTACCAAAATGATCAAAACTGAAAAAAATGCATCTAAAAAAACTAAGGCTTTAAAATAAATTAAAATGAAAACTGAACATATAAAATAATAATAGCAAACTATTAAAGTGTCTCAATGATACTGAAATAACACAGGTTTGAAATAAAATACAATATTTAAAACTTAAACTGGTTTTCTTTAATATTTTAAGATTTAAGATTTTATATATTTTAGCTAGTTGCCAAGGATTTTTTCATTTTCATTTAGTTTAACTTGTACTAACGTAATAAATACTGAATTAAAGAAAAAACAAACAAACAAAAATAAAACAAAATTACTTTTGTTGTAATGTAAAATAACTAAAACTATAATATATTGATAATAAAATAACACTGTTTTGACATTTAAAAAAAAATATTCTACTTTATTTCAGCTAATTGACAAGGAAACCATTTTTAAAAAATTGGGAAAAATTTATTTAGATTAACTTGATAACTAAAACCATAAAAAACCTTTTGTTACTTGAAATAAACATCTAAAATAAAATACAATTTTGAAGACACTTTTATTTAAGCTACTTAACATGGAAACATTGCTCATTTTCATTTAGTTTAACTTGTACTAAAATAACTAAAATGGAAATAATTATAGACTCTATAGACATATAAACAAAATAATAAAAATTACCAAAACTTTAAAGAAAAAAGAGAAAAAATAAATAAAAATGTAATTTCAGTTAATGTTTATTTCAAGCAATGAAAATGTTTGTTTATTTATTTATTTATTCTGAATGGTTTTAGTTTTAGTTATTGGTAATAACCCTGGTTCACATGGCATACTTCTTTCAGAACTAGTATTGTATTTCATTCTGAATACAACTAGCAAATACTGAAAAGCTTCCATCTGTAAACATGTATTTATATTCTGGTATAAGCACACATGCATGTTTCTCAGACTTGTGGTGTTTTATATAACGCTAATTATAATGACTACAAACCCAAAGCATTTTCAGAATTTAAAGAAACATTATTTAATTTATGATGCTTTTTTCTTTCTCAAATGAGGACGTCATAACATAAAAAGCGAATGAATAAATAAAAAGCGCTTTATTCCGTCTCTCTTTGTCTGTGTTGGTGTGCATGTGAATGTTTGTCAGATCTGTGCCGTTCAACCTCTGGCCTTCTGAGAGCTCCACCATCTGTTGTGCTGTGAAAGTGGAGCACGTTCTGTGAATCAACTTCTCCTTCACACCAAACATCGTTTTCTCTTCTGTAATCCGCCGCTTTCCTCTCTTTGTCTTTCAGCTCCTGCATCTGAAACATCCGTTTGTCCTGAAGCAGACAAACGGATGAAAGATTCATGAAGGAGGTGAATGTTGGGTGCGACGAAACGAGTCTCTCTTTCACCTGTGGCCCACCAGACGGCAGAACCGGTGTGTGAGCACAGGTTGAGCCCAGACAGCACCAGGTACCGCGTGTGTGTGTGTGTGTGTGTGTGTGTGTGTGTGTGCAGACGGGTCCCACAGGGCGAGGCTCTACAGCTGTAGACAGACACTGAATTTGCTGCATCTGCTGTCCCCACATCTGCAGACTGGGCCGGAGACACATGCTCTGTCTGTATCTGTCTCACTGTGTGTGAATGCACACTTACACTGCCAAAGGAAAAGGCCTGACTGCAGTTTAAGAACAGCAATGCAAAAGATTATTAAAGCAATAAGCCCCAAGAAGCCGTGGTTTACAGTGCATTTATAACAGGTAAGGGGCGTTGTTAGGCATGACGCGAAGTGGAGTGCCTAAAACCCCCTTAGCTGTTATAAATTCACTGTAACCCACAGCTTCACGGGGCTTATTGCTTTTATAAAACGGTTATTCCATATACGTAGTAAGGTTTCACAGAATAAAACAGAGCAAATAAAGTGTAATGATATTAATAAAAACAGTATTCTTCCACCAAACAATGTAGTTCAAAGGTGTATGTTTGTAGAGTAATTTACAACAGCTTTGAATGCGGCTCAGCCAATCAGAATCAAGGACCGGAACTATCCGTTTTATAATAATAGATAGTACATTGGTATGACATAAATGATATGGCATCTTAATGATACTAAAATAACACTGGCAACTCTATTGAGCTACAGGAAAATACCATGATAACTGTAGTTTGCACAAAATTCATGTAATTTCGTTTTTTTTTTTTGGTAACCATCGTATTTTCCACCTTCAACATACATACATACAAACAAACATACAAACATACATACATGCATAAAAATAAATAAATAACAATATTTAAATAAGTAGTTATATCAATATAGTTTATAATAAATTTTTTTAAAATTAATAATTGAAGTCTTTGAAGTTATTTTACTGATGTATCTAGTATAAACACTATGCAAACATAAAAATAAAAGCAATTATTAATATAATTATAATAGTATCTCAATGATACTAAAATAGCTGTGTTGAACTGCAAGAAACTACCATGATAACTAGTTTTCACAAAAATATATACTATATATTTTAAATATATATTTATATTTTATATAACTATTTTGTTTTTACTTTGTAACAATAATTTTCCACCACTGCCATCAAAAACCTACTGATATCAGTTATGTGTGTAGTTATATATAGTTACTATTAAAATATTATATATTATATAAATTTAAATACAAGTTATAAGTTCAAATTAAAGCTCTCTATCTCTGTATATATACCGGTACATTTATAATGGTTTTAATGAACTATATTTAAAGTCTTAGTTATTTTAGTATTTAGACACTTTACACAAAGCGACTTACTGAAGACAAAGAAAAACATTTTGTTCAATTAAAAAAAAAAAAACATATATATATATATATATACTTTTTTGAGGGTGAAATATGGGTACCATGAAAGAAGCATCAGATCTACAATAGCTATGTTTCCATCCACCTATTTTTTTAATGTGCATGCTGAAATGCCTGAGCAAAGTCTGTCGTCAAAGTATTTCTGTGAAAATTATTGGTTACACTCTATTTTAAGGTGTCATTGTTACAGTGTAATTACACATTTGTGACCCTGGAGCACAAAACCAGTCTTAAGTGTCAATTTTTCAAAATTGAGATTTATACATCATC